TGTTCGTGTGTATAAGTGTGTGTGTGTGTGTGTGTTTCGCTGCCATTTATGTACATGAATGTCATATACATAATGCACGTAATTAATAATGTAGAATGTTTTGCATATATTGCATAATAAACGCATTTTTGTCCTTGTGTGTATATATTTATAGTTGCATATATCGCTGTATATATATTGGATTAGTTTGTTTCGATGCAATTAAATACATAATTAATGGTTGCATGTGTGTGTCAGTATCCTGTGTGTGCGTGTGTGGGTGTTTGTTGTATTTCTAGGTACAGAATTCATATTTTTTGCTGGCTCACTAAGGTGCTGTGTTGTTCTCTAATCGTAAGCTTAAATTTATGTTCGCTTTTTGTTCTAATAATATTTTTTGCAACTCTACTTTTCTACAATTCTACAGTTGTGTCTGTGTGTACGTGGGCGTGTCGTGTTTGTATGTGTGAGTGCTCTAAATACAAGTTAAAATGATTTAATCTCTACGCAGTAACTCTTTTCAACTATTTCTGTACGCGTTGTATCTGGGTGTGTGTGATGTATAATCGACCAAAATAGGTTTGTATATCTATCGCAACAATATGCACCTATGCAAAAACATAAGAATTCTCATTAGTTTCCTTGGGTTTCTTGGTTTTCGTTGTATAAAGTACATCAATTGGTCTCGTCAAGCAGCACAAAAGTTGCGATAACAATATGCAAAAAACAACTCTACCTGTTAATATATCTGTATATAGATAACTAATAATCGTTATAATCGTTTAATCAATTCATCGTTTGCCAGCTAAATCCAAAATCCCTACGGCTCGTAATTATACGTTATTGCTTATTTTTTTGTTAGCGCCTCTGCAGATTTTCCTCTTCGCTTGTTTTTTTTTTGCTTTGCTTTTCCGTGTAAACTAAACTGTTTATATACTTGATTCTGCTATATATATAGTGTATAGTGCCATAAATGTTCGGGGTTCGCCTTACTTATCGCAATAATATAACGAATTCCAAATATTTACTCATAGATACATGCGATTTAATACTTTTTAGTTACCTTAATGCTCTATTGCTTTCGATTTGCGTTTTTGTTGCTTTGTTAATTGCTTTTGCTTTCGATTCTCTATGATTATACCATATACAATACCATATACTATAGCTGTAAATAAGTAGAGCTTTTCCTCCATTATAATGTATATTCAAAGTGTTAAGTCTTTCATTTTTTGTTCTCGCTTGCTTATTTGTTGTCAGCTATATATGACTTTATTAGTTATGTTCAATTCTTGAATTATTAGTGTTAACGTGCCAAGTCTTTTATATTTTTGCTCAATTATTTATACATGTGGGTTGGGGGGTGGTGGTGGTTTTGTGATTTTGATTTGGTAAATAAATAAATCACGCTCAACGCAAACTATGCAAATTAAATTTTTTCGAATTAAATGCTTGCGAGGCCACCCCCTTTTAATATTTTTCCAGTTTCGAGGGGGCGGTGGGGTGGTTTTTGCCCAGTACCCAGTACCTCCCCCTTTCTATTTGCCTGCTTTTTTATTACGTTTCCCTTTGTTCGCATTCGCCTAACGAGCGCTCGTTAAACTGCATTGACACAAAAAGGACAACACAACGCAACACAACATTGTGTTGCCATGGGTGTACTTTGTGGGGTGGTGTCAGCAACAGATAATGGAAACAATGGATCATGAACCTAACGCTGCAAATACTGAATTCAACAATTGCATTTCGCGATGCGCTGGTTCCGTTTATGCGTCTGTACAGGGTATATGTATGTGTGTGTGTGTGTGTGTGTGTGGGGTCCTAACGCTACTAATGTATCAACTTTAACAATTTCCTTGGGTTAACAATTCGTCAGGATCTGGGTTCTGTGTATGTGCGTGATTGGAACAACTAAAAAATTACATTTTGGGCTTAAGCTTTCCAAACGTATATATGTATATGCCTGGGGGATATATGTAAATAGTTGTTTCATAGTTTTTAAGTTCGTTTTCTATTACAAATTTTAAAATATGCACCCCCTTAATATTATCTTTTGCTCCGTTTTAATATATTTATCTTTACCACTACGTTTTATTGCTTTTCGATACACGTTATTTCTATTAAAAGTTTCTGGAGCTCAATTTGATTTCTCGTTTGCTCTTTTCCTTTGAGCAAAATTAATGAATAGTTCTGAAAATTGTTAGTGTGTATTTGGACTATCACAATATTCGAATTGCTTTGGGTTCGTCGTTTATATTCATCAAAAATTACTCAGCAACTTAAGCCAGTTGAAATGATAAGAAGAACTCCGAATTAGTTTATAAATGAAAAACATTGTTTCGCTTGTAAAATGTTTGGTTATTTAATATGTATTGTATATTTGTAACTTTATAATTGCTTCTCTCGTTTTCTTATTTGTTTTTGTTTCGTTTTTGGTTTTTACATGTGTGCTTCGATTGCTAAATGTAAGTAGTTCCAACCTTATAGTATTTTAAAGACTAATAAATCGATTAACTCGTTAGTTAAGTTATTGCTTTACTTTCCATCGCCTTCTATACAATTGTTATACAAAATTTTTAAAATTTAATATTATTGCCGGGCTTCAATTCAATTCAACATTCTCATAATGCAAATTTCATAAATATTCATTACATTTCTCGCTTCGATAAATTATAAACGATACATAAATAATAGTTGACTATATGCTAAATAACGCTATATATTATATTATATATAATTAATTGTAGTTGTAATTGAAATAATTGTAATTTGTCTTGCGGTCTGCAGGGGTTTTTAATTTTTTTGAGTATTTGCTTTGGTACTTTAGCCGATTTAGTCGATTCCGATTGCGATTCGTCTCGATTATTCGTTTAATATTATCCTTAAAAGTGTTGCCATCTCTCTCGTCCGACGCTCCCTCCTCCGAACAACAGTATAAAAATAATTTCGTGGTTATACTTACTAGTTTAACTTACGAGTACATGTCTGAAGACTAACCCTAGCTGTATATAATATATGCTTTGTAAATATTACGCAACTACATACGTATTCTAGATGTATATATCTTCTATATTTCCCGATTACCCGCTTAGAAATACCAACAACTTTGGTTTTGGTTTTGGGTCATCTAAACTTGGCTACGACTAGGGCTACAAAATGTTCGTTGCACTTCATTCCCCTCTTCCTCTTTGAGATCGGTTGCTGAAGCTGATTTCAGTTGATGATTATAATGCTGATGTATATGCTATATCCTAGTATTTACAGATTTGTGCATCGAATGGGTGTTGGTGTGAGCTTGTGTGAGTATGAAGATGAATGAGTAAACGATTGGGTGAATGAATACGAGTTACAGTTACATAATATAGGGCTAAGTAATATCGTACTAGGTCGGTTAAGTGTCGAAAAGTGCAAAAGTATTATTCACGCATGGACGAAGTGTACTGTTAAATGCTTGAGACTAGATCACACTCGATATTTTCTGTTCTGCGACTGAGGGGTTCTCTCTTTGCGATCGAATAATGGGGGACTTGCCCGGATTTCTTTGGTCTTATTCGCTGACTTTGCTCCTAGATTGGGCCTCGAACGGAATGCAATGTTTTCTGTTGATCCTAAACACTGGAATGGCTTTGGTAATAAATAAGTGAGTTTTGCTGTTAAACAGCGACTAGACGTTCACTTCTAAAGACTAAAATAAATATTCGTAGTGGCTACTTCACTGGTTAGTAGTAGTTCTAATTGACTGAAAAAAGCGCCCAAAAGGAAAGCGTTCCGAACCGCCCTCTGTGATTTCTGCAATGCTCTTCTAGCCTTAAATGATTTCAGAGTGAACTAATGGGGGGACTTTACCTATATAAACGTGATCATGATGCTTTCTACAGGGGGTATATGAGGCTTACACAACCAGTTCTCGGGGAGTGTTTCTTGGTCCTTGTTACTTTGGTTGGTTTCGGTCTGTTAACATTCGCTCCTGAACCGCTCCCACCTGAACCGGTTCGCAGCACCCGACTAAATATTGCTTTGCGTTTCGTTTTTGTTGCTTGCTTTTGATTAATTTGTATCGTTGTCTTTATATCGAATCTAAAAATTGCTGAGTGCTTAAATGTCGCTTTGGTGTGACTTAGTTTAAAATTGCTTAGTGGCTAGCACTCGTAATTGCTGCTTATAGATAGGCTGCCCTTAAGTCCTAATTCGTTGTTTGAGAAACATTGCATTTGCTTTTGTATTCGTTGCATTAATTTTAATCACTTCGTCGTCGTCGTCAACGTTGTCGATTAAAAAGATAGAGATAGAGTAGAGAGATATTGTTCGAGTAAGAGTTTAGAGTTAGCTAGAGGAGTTAGTTGGAGAGAGTGGGTAGATTAAAACGTTCGTCTGGTTTAGCTACGGGTTATAGTACATTCTATATATGCATTTAAATATAGTACTCTTAAGTGTGTGATTTTTGTTTTCGCTTGGTAAGTTGTTTAGATAGATAAGATAGCTGCTAGAATTGCTTAGATTTCTTCAGGTTCTCGGAATGCATGTGGCTTTAGCACCTCATACACAAGGCTCTTTGTGTGTGTGTGTATTTGGGTGTATGTTTTTGTTTTTTTTTTTTGCTTGGAATGTGTGGGGTTTCTTAGGAATGTTCAACTCACTTATGTTTAAAAGAAGAACCATTTTGAGTTGGTTTACACGGGGGTGTTTTCGAGTTCTCTGTGTGTTCGGAACATTCCTTTGCACTTGTTTTAGGCACCTTTAAAAAAGGAGATTTCAAACCCCCACAGAGATTTCGGGAACACCCCCATTGAGTATTTTGTTGCTTGGCTGCCTAATGCGAATTTCTACAGTCTCTGTGTTACTCTACTACACTTTGCTCTTGGACGTATTGTGATGTATGTATCTTCTATAAAAACGGCTATCGGTTAACCTAGTTGTAAATGGTAACGGTAACTTTAACATTAACGGTAAATTAACTAACCAGCTATGCAGTTACAGCACACCCTTCCTCTCTTTTCATATCAGGGGTGCCACAAAAATCTCCAAAGGTCTAAAAACTCATTTTGGTCCTTCGAGCCGGATCGTGCAAACAGTGACTTAATACCGCCAGAGATTCGGTGTGCCACCCCCGCATATATATATATTGCTTACATGGCATAAGTGGGTCCTCCACTGCCCTCGATTTTAACGCGCTCAAGGAACTCGTGTGGCGGCGACGAGGCCATACTCGCCCCACTCTCGCTGTTGCTGTCGTGCATCGACAGCGACATGGACATCATCAGCTCCTCCTCGTCCTTCAGGCAGGCCGACTCCAAGTGCTTGTTGAGGTACGACTTCAGGGCGAAGGTCTTGTGGCACCGCTTGCACTCGAAGTTCTTGTCCACCGAGTGGGTTTGCATGTGGGCGCGCAGATTGGAGCGATCCGCAAAGGCCTTGCCGCAGTGCGCACATCCGTAGGGCTTTTCGCCCGTGTGGGAGCGCAGGTGGCCCTGCAGCAGCCAGGGCCGCGAGAAGAGCTTGCCGCAGACGCCGCAGCTGTGCGATAGCTTGTGCGTCAGGACGTGCATCGCCAACGCGGGCATGGAGACGTAGGCCTTGCCACAGGTGTGGCACTTCTTGGCCGACTGCGAGTCCAGCGAGCGATGGGTCTGCTTGTGGCGCGAGAGGTTCGAGGAGGTGGCGTACTGCTTGCCGCACTCGGAGCAGGTGTACTTGGTCTTCTGCTGATCGGGAGTGGGCACGGCGGCGGCGGGATCCGTCACGTGCTTGCGCTTCGACCGGCCGTCGCTGACGAAGAAGGCCTCGTAGGTGTAGGCCACCGTCTTGGCCGACGCTCCCGAGGCGCCGCCGTGCTCGCCGTCCTGCAGGCACTCGCCATCCTGGTTCGTGTTCGTGGTGTTGCTGTTCTCATTCTGCACCTGGCTGCTGCTGCTGCTGTGGCTGCTGCTCGAGTGGCTGCTGGGGCTGCTGGGCATGTGGTTGCTGCTGGCACTCGAGGCGTTGCTCGCGGGGCGTTGCTCATTTACCACGCTGGCCGCTGCAGCCAGTTCGGCAATCGATGATGTGCTGCGCAGATGCGCATGCGCCTCGAGAGTTGGCAAGTGGGTGTGGTGTGCCTGCTGCTGTTGCTGCTGCTGCTGCTGCAGTGGCAAGTAATGATGTTGCTGCGGGGCAAGGTGTTGCTGCTGAGTGTGCTGTTGCTGCTGCTGCTGTTGTTGCTGCTGCTGTTGCTGCAGTTGGTGAGGCTGCGTGGGCGGGTGGAAGGCTGTGCTGGCACTCAGGTCCAGGATGGCGTGTGCCGCATGCAGGTCCTCCTCCGCCGGAATCCTTCGTCGGTAGCCGTGCGCCGGCTTGTCGTCCAGGGAGTACGGTCTGTAGATGTCCTTCTTCTTGGGCGGCAGCGACAGGGTGGCCCCCGTGCTGCTGAAGCACTTCCGTTCGCTGGAGGTCTGACCGCTCGAAAGCGGACTGTAGCGATCGCCGGCGCCGCTGGGCGAACAACTGGGCGACGAAGTGGTGGACGAGGGCGGCGTTTGGTAGGCCGCTAGGTGCTGGTCTCCATTGCCATTTCCGTTTCCGGACGAGACGGACGCGGCTGCCACCAGAGCTGTGGCCGCGGCACGGATCACGGTTATCCCGCTCTCCATGCGGGGCAGGTACGCGGTGTAGTGCAGCGGCGACAGTTCGCGGGTGTAGCCTGTAAGAAATAAAAAAAGGAAAACAATTGGTTACCATCTATTCTGCAACAGTTCAAGGGTCGAGGGGTAGAATTTGGAAATACAGGAATTTCATGAATATTGCTTTCTCATCAAGATGTTTTTTCCATATCGTTGAACCTTAGACTGTAACTCAAAAACTTGAACCTATCTTAAGTGCTCGTGTTTTGTTTTTCGCTAAAAACATAAAAACTTCTGTTTCCTTTTCTTTTATAAGCTGCCAAAACATTTATTCTTTGTCCTTCTTAAGTTTTCCCCTTTTGAGAACTTTAGACAAAAGCAGTTATTGTAAGCTGAAGGGCAGTCGCATGGTTCCACTTTATGATTCCTCAGTGCTTAATTTCTATAATCCAAGGAAAACTTTGAAAGGTCAACTTAAATATCATAAGGACACGCCGGGAGTTATGCTACGATTACAAAATTTTTATTTTCTGTGAATGTTTTGCAGACAACTGAGCACTTTCTATCGCTTTTTCGTAGTAACAGTTTTCAAAGTTGTTATAAAGTAAAATATTTAAAAACTTTTAAGCAAATTATAGTTTAAAATTGGATAATTGGTAGATCCTTTAGGCCTCCAAAAGAAATTTATTTAAAGACGCCTGAACCAGGAAAGCATGTTTATTCTATGCCTAATTTCTAACTCCAACTGAATAATTAATTTCCCAATTGTACATCGTAAAAAGCTCTGACAGGCACATATTCTAACGGAACCAAGGACCCGGGCAAACGGTTTAATTTCGCCATTCGCCATTGTTTTCACGCCGAAGGGAAACCGAGTTGGCAGTTGGCGAGGGTCTGCGGCCCGCTGGCCGGAATCGCAAACAATATTGAGTGACAACAAAGGCAATTAAATTGATTCGGAATTGTTTCGCAATCGCACAATGGCCACATCAATGACAGCGATTACGTGCGCCCCCACAGTGTCTCCCCTCCGACTGGGCCGATTTTCCGATTTTCCGCCTTTCCCGGGGGCGAACTTACCGTTGTAAACATTGCCGGCCACTCGAGTCGCCGCCTCCGGGGAATGGGGCGGCGGACTGGGAGCCGTGGTGCCCGCCGTGGGTGAACTGGGTCCCCAGCACTTGGACGTCGTTGCCTCGATGTTGCTGCTGCCGTGCGATGTTGCCGCCTCGATGGAAGTTGCTGCTGCTGCTGTTGCTGCTGCCGCCGCGTCCGCTGCTGTTGTGCGTTGCTTCTCCAACTTGATCAGGAATTTGTCGCCCACCACGTCGATCTCCTCGTCCTCGTCCAGGGTGGAGCGTCTGGACTTCAGATGCAGCTCCTCCAGTTCTCGCGCGGAGCTCGTGCTGCCCTGCTGCTGCTGGCCGTTGTCCTCGGAGCGATCCAGCCAGGGATACGCCTTCCACTTCTTCGCGATCAGGCAGCGCGGCATCTTCGGGGTTTCTTGAGGTTAGAGTTTTGTTTGGCTAGGAGCTGGGAGGATCCAGTTAGGTCTTAGAGGGCTAAGTGCTGAAGCTAGTGTCGAGTTTCGAGCGAGCAAAGACCGTCTCAGGGGGTATTGTTCGTGGCAAAAGCGGAAAGGAAACGTTGCTGTTGTTATCTCGCATGTGAAAATATATATATTGTATATAGAGTTTGGCTCGCCGAAAGATCTCTTAAGGTTTTAGTCGTACAGCTTGTTGGAGCTCTTCAGGCCTGGCATTTCTGCAATCCCTGATTCCTCTCCCTTTGATTGTTCGTGTGTGTGTGTGTGGCGTGTGTGTGTCGGTTAAATATTCTTAATAATTTGCATTTTATTGTAAATTGGTTTTTTTAGTTAGGATTCTTCGGGTTTCACAGCCACTTCACACATTTCGGCGCTCGATTCGTTGTCAGACCCGTATCCGTCATTTGGGCTGGAGTTTCGTCTCGCTCTTTTATTTCTTTTGTTTTTTTTTGGGCCGGAGTTTTTGCGTTTTTGGCCAGGGCCACCGATTTTTGGTCAGTTCCCCCCGCTTTCTTCCCCTCGCTCCACGGAACACACACGGACACGTTCGCGTTCAGTTGGCTGGCTGCGTGTGGCTTATCGATTTTTACATTTGCGTTTACGTTTACGTTTGTTTTTAACACGGAATTTGGACTCAAAACATAAGGGGGGCTTTCCTTTTCTTTTTTTTTTTTTTGGGTATCCTTTCTCCTTTTCGCTGGCAATTTTCTCCTCGGTTTTTAGAAACAAAGCTTGTTCGATGGTCGAGTCGAAATTAAATGTTTTGTTTTGAGGTTCAGTTTAAAAAACGGAAAGTTGACAGAGTTGTAGTGGTAGAGTTGTAGTTTTTTTTTTTTGAGAAAGTTAAGTTAAGGTTGACGCGAGTTGAGAATAGTTGAGTTGTTATTATTGTTGTTGTTGTTGGTAGTGAAAAAATTGATTTAGGAGAAAATATAATATTATATAAGATAGAGAAGAAATGCGAACGAACCGAACGTAAGCAACTCTTGAATGCTTATGAGAGTCGGACGGACCGAGAGCCTGCTTATAAGGGTGTCCACCCCCTGGAGAACGAATGGAACCCGAAACCGAATCGTATCCAAACCGAAGGGAGGAGAGAAGCCGAGAGAGCGGAACGGGCGAGAGCGGCACAGCCCCTAAATTCCAACCCCCAGTAAGGATGCATAGCTGTTGCTATTGCTGTTGCTTGTCCTGTGGGCTGCTATGCACGTTGGAATATTATAAAATATATTTTTAATGAGAAAACATAAGGACAGAACTGCTATTTAAGCTTAATTTTGGATTGGAATAGTTTATTGGATTGAGATTCCCCAATAAAACCCTTTGAACGATGAGTTTTCTCAAATTTTTTATAAAAATCGTTCAGTTTGTAGCCTCCCTAGCAAACAGGCAACAATCAGGAAGTGTTCCACTGCCGAAACATTCCCGCTGTTGCTTGCTCTCAATTTCAAAATTGTTGCGCCTCTCTCTCTCCATTTCTCCCACTCTGTCTCTTTCTTAAGTGGGGGCCCCAGCCTTACCTGAGAATTGGCTCATGGCTCTTTGGCCCTTTCGGAACTTTTTCGGCTCGGAGCCCGCGGCTCTTGGCCGCTTCAGGCTCCCATTCACGGGGTGGATTTTTCGCCCAGAATGTGGCAGTTGTGCCGAGTTAATTGCTGTTGCATTGCATTTGTTGCTCGGCTCTGATTTTGAACAAATTGCCAGAGACGCGCTGGCATGGGGGTGTACTTCTATACATATATATAAATCTGGACGGGTGAGGGGATGCAACAGTCGCTGGTCCTTGGCTGTAACTCAGTTAGTACAAGATAAACAGCACAAACTAACTTCTGTCACCCCCACCCTGCGGACTCCGGCTCTCCACTGGCCATGAATAAGTGGTTTACTTTCCAGATCGCAGAGGTCGGATATGAGTGCGGCAACTCGAATCGTTGGATGATTAATTGCAGCTCCTGCCGAGTTCGTTTTGATTGACAGCTGGATGTGTCATATGCCACGCACCCAGGATGAAGTGAGCTCGATTTTATGCGCATAAATGGGGTTTTTTGATGCCACAAAAGGGTGCTGTGCAGTTAAAGACTACCCAAATTCCTTTATTGGTAGTTTCCGTTCTGTACGGATTTAGTCAATTAGGTATTTATTTCCTAAATTTGGTTTTCAATTGGGATAATTAAAAAGAGGAATACGTTTATTTAAAATGACTGGTTATAACTAATAGATTCTCATAAGTAAACTTTCGATAAAAAAATCTCTGGTGCTGTTTAAAATTAATTACTCGCTCTAATATCTTTACAAACATCTTGAGAAGTTAGTCAGATACATATACAATCTGTTCGCATTCTCAGCAACACCAACACAGACAAAAGTAATTAATTAAAGTGGAGCTTCGGTTAGCTGTACGGGGAGCTTGTGCTTTGCATAATCAGACACTTAAATTACAAAGTTCTTAACCTTTTAATTAGCCAGCGACAACAGACAATTTGTCTGCCTCAGACAAGCTTAGCGTCGCTTCTGCAGCAGTTGCAGTCCTTTAAAATTATACTTTTCATTGGAAATTCCATTCGGCTTACTATGGTATCCCCGGGGTCCTTTGTTCAACCCACTTCCTGCTCCCCAGCCCATCGAAAACTTGGAACAGATGTAACCTTTTAATGTTGTACGGTTTCCTTGTTTAAACTATTTCGAATTTTTTGAGGAAAACCAAGAAGTGCCCACCGATCTATCTGACCATCCATCTCGCGGAGTGACAGGCCATAAGGACCTTCTCTTCATTCCTCGAAAATGAACAGCGATATGTAAATATGAATTCCAAAGTAACGTAAAGACCATCTGTGGAATTCGGCTGCACTAATTATAAAAAAATTGGACTCTCCCTACGCCCGGCACCTTAGTAGAAGCCTTAAATATGCCCCGTGCAACCCCACCCAGCTTGCACTGAGAGAAATTTATTGTACGTAGATTTCAGAGGTTGTTTCAATTGCTATACTTCAGAGTTATGTTATGTTGTGTTTAGATAGGTCGATGATATAATATAGATAACCAAAATCAGGACCATTTGCTACATATTAATAATGTGAGATATTAAAGGAAATTTGTATCATTTAAATGAAATATGTATTTATAGTGACTTCACTTGTAACATTTTAATAAGGTTTACTCTTATGTTTATGTTTTATCAAGACTTTTCAATACTTTTTCCCTGTGCATGTCCTTTCTTGAGGTGGTGAGGAAACCACTCGCCTGGCACGCGGCTCCTTGCAAATGGTAATCTGCTTTTCCAGCCAGCAGACTTGAAGGCGATTCCGAACGAGATGCGCTTTATGCGGCCCACGACGAAATTGTTGCGCTTCGTTAGTCGCGGCCTCCGCCTCCTTCAGGAATTCAGGAGCCACTATATAGGACCTCGATCCCTAGATCGCCGCTGGCCACGCGTACACCCCTCCCTGAATATTTCAAATGTCGGTCCGGAAGGGAACTGCAGATGGTGAGGCACTGAGGCGATTCAAGCTCTGTGGCATATGGTTTGGGCTTGGACTTGGGACTTGGGTTTTGGCTAGCGAATCGGAACTTGGGCCACGCGTCACGACAGGAAAATGTAGAATAGTTTGGTTGCAGAGGAAAAGCGGCCACCGAAATTATGCAGCCGGCAAAAGGCAAAAGGACGGCAACGGCGACGGCGACGGGCGGAATGGGGCGCGCTCACCTGGAACAAGGACAATATGGTTAATGCAGCGACAGCCTTTCCTGTTTCGTGTTTTACGAGCTGTGCGGTGTGTGTGCTAAGTTTGCTGCTATTAGTTTTTGTTTATTCCTTGTTTTTATACCCTGCGAGGGAGTATTTCAAATGGGCTTAAGGGCTTGCCAAGGGCGGAGTTCTTGACACTGTTTCGAAAGTAAATAGGGTCTATGAGGACAACTACTTCGCTATCTGTACTATCTTGATTGTTTGTTTTAATTACACCTGAATTACAGTTCTGTATTAACCAGGCCTAAGAATTAATTAGATGCATTTCAACCTATTTTAAAGATTTAAGTTACGGAGTAATTTTAAATAATAATCAGCAATCGTGGCCAAGAAAAAGTAATTGATTCATGTTATTGTAAATAATATAGCGCAAGGGTCCGAATATTTTGAGGGCTGCAGTTAGCAACCTAAATATTTGTATTCTTCTGTTTCCTGGCTTTCATGTGATTTCTCCGCACACATACAAAAGGGTATTTCGTGGGTCAACCCATTATATTTTCCGAAGTTTGTTAGTTTATTTCGTTTCGAGTGGGGGGTGTATGTCCGAGAGTACGAAAGGTGCACCGCAGCCCAGTTGCGGGGATTCAGTTGAGCGCGTTTGCGAGCGTGCAAAAAGCAGCAGGAGCCGCAAGGACCAACAGCCAACAGCCAGGAGCAGAAGCAGGAGCAGGAGCAGCAGGAAATGCTCTACAAGTGCTGCAGCTGGCCCAGCTGTTTTGGGTGCTTTTCCCCCCTCGTTTCCTTTCCTTTCCGTTTGCGCTGGGTGGGCACTGCTTTCGCCCAACTCCAAGCCCAATCTAAAATGCACACCCCACTCGCTGCAGTCGCCATTCGGCTTGTCAGCTTGCCAAGGGCTATTTGGCGTTGCCTAGCGAGTTGCTCCGAAACTTCGGCTATAACCGACCGCCCCCACCCCCAGCAGCTATCCCCTCTATATGGCCATATATATAGTATACGTTCGAGTATATCCCTATCCCGCTCTCGCCTGAAGTGTGACGCTCGCGTGGCACGGAAGTGACGGCGGCAGCTGTAGCTGTAGCTGTAGCCGAACTATAACCAGAAACTGTTGATCCTTACCTCCTTCCTCTCCCCCTCCTACTATCGTCCTTTTGCTCGCTGAAAACTGGGCACCCAGAGCAAGCCGAGCGCTAAAGGGAAAAGCAAGCCAAGCCAAACCAAGCCGAGCCGAGCTGAGCTCAGCCAGCGGCAGCAGTACGGAGGTAAAAATTCACAAAGGTACTGAGAGCCCAAGGGAGCCAGGTGTCTGGCATGCTCATTCCGCTTTCCATTCAATGATGTATTAAAGTGGAAACAGCACGAGAGTACCAGACAGAGTCTGGGTCTGATTCTGAATTGTATATTGTGCATGCCCTATAGGAAAGGACATGGGCATTCGCAGGGAAGTTTTTAGAAGCAGAGGTCCCTGGAACTTATGAAGAGCTTTATAAATTTGTAAACTACATCTATGCTTAGAAACGCACATCAATTAAATGCAATTTCAGCAACAAAGATGTTTTAAAAAATATTAATTCTTTTTATAAGATTCAGAATTCTTATGTTATCTTTTGTTTACGTGCTAAACATCTCCTACTGAATGGAACCCTTCGCCTTATTTTATTTTCCCGTTATCCTGATACCTCTATACCCCATTGATTCCCGAACATATGCAAGGCAAAACCGATGGAGAAAACCCAAAGTATTTCCAATAAGCGACGCAACAAGGAACTGAAACAATCGAGCTGTGTGTAAAGAGCGGTGAGGCCGAGCAACATGTAATTTGTAAAGCTTCCTTTGATTAGGCATCCGTGTTCCTTTGTCGCCTGTCGAATGACTCGTGTAGTTTATGGCACCATAAACCAATCAGTTTGGCCCGACAAAGAGTATTCACGCTTCGATGGTTCCGCAATTGACTTCTCTTTCATCTTTATTGTATTCGCGATGTCTGTGTCCGGGAGTCTGGGTGCCAGGGTCTGGCTTTCGTTTTGCGTTTGGGTTTGGGTTTTCGGCATTCGGCATTCGGTGTACGAGTGTACGAGTATATCCTTTTGCGTCCGGGCGCTGTCGACTTTTTCCCAAATGCTATTTATTCCTGTTCCTGCTGTAATTTCATTGTTACTCCTTTTTGAATGGCTGTGTGCAACAACCACCACCCCATCGTCGTCGTCATCATCATCATCATCATCATCAGAGCAACACGGCACCACCGCTGCCAACACCACTACCACCACCAGCACCCTGT